ATACATTTTTGATAAGAATTTATTTGGACAAAAAGAAAAAATTTGGCCAGAGAGTCAAGTTATTGGAGGAATTGAAGGTTGAAGAAGAACTTTATTTCCCTTCTAAAAATTATATCCTAATTGAAAATGAATTTAATAAAGGCTTTTTATGGAAGTAAAAATAATGAGGTATTTCAATTACATTAGGGGGGGGGGGAAATCTAAATGGGCATGAAATTATAGCAGTTTCAAGAATTTAGATTTGGCAAAAAAAGAGTGATTTTTTTTATTAACCATTGTATAATCAAAATTTTTTTTTGTATAAATTTTTTTTAGGTGGAAAAAAAGGAAGAAAATACAGAAGGCTTCTAACTTCAGATGGCCATATTATTAGTAGTATATTCAATCATAGAAAAGAACATTTTTCAAGAAAAAAATCATCATGTTGAAGTAATTCAATTTTATTTTTTTATTTTTATTAAAGGTGTAAGATTTATATTTAATTGATTTTTTATTTTATTTTAAAGTTTCATAGTACCATTGACAAATATTCACATTTAAAAAAATGTTAACCTGGAACTGATGTTGACCAAAGCTTATGGAAAAGTTGAATATTTTTTCACACATCAGCATCAAAAAAAAAACCAAATTTTTAGCGTTTATTCAATTAACTTCAAGATTGATTGAAGATACAAATCTTGAAATCAAAATTCACTTCACAACTTATAAATTTATTGATGTGCGTTTAATTGATCATTGCATAGGATTATTTAAATTGGAATCCAAGTATTATAACATTGATAAAGAGAATAATGTTGAGGAAGAATGGGATGACATTTGAAATGTAGTATAGTAATAAATATTTTTATTTATTATAGAAATTATTTATTTCGATATTTTTTTTATTATAAAGAAAAAGAGAGAAGATTCAATTAGATCGTTGAAATATTCCCAAAATTGACTTAATGTGAATTTTTTTGAACAATTTCGCGACACAATAAAATTTGCAAAATTTAAAATTTGAAATTTTGAAATTTGAAAATTTGAAATATTAATATTTTTGATTTTTAAACTGTTATGAAGTCATTTGAAAAGTTACATGGTAAAAAATACTTATATTTTTGTAGTAATGTTCATAATCATGGCAATGGTCATAATTTGTTAGATAAATCAATTTGAAATCTTTTTAATTTTACGTATATAAAATATAAAATAATAATAATAATAATAAATATTAATTACAGGTTTACAGGGTCAAGTGTCATAATTTTATTATATGTAAAATCGAAGAAAAAAATCACTGGTATACACAAAAGATGATTGAATGAATGGAAAATAAATATGATTAATTTTCTTTCTTCGTAATTTAAAAAAATTATTTCAGAATTATTTTACAATTAAAAAAACAATTAAAAAATGTCATCAAATACCAACACTAACATCAATGCTAACACCATTATTAATACTACCAGCACCAGTAACAATAATGATGATAATAATAACAACAACAACGACAACAACAATAATAATAATAGTAATAATAGTAATGATGATAATAATAATAATAATAATAATAGTATTACGGAATTTCGTAAACCATGGCCGACAGCAGGATGCATGTCACACCTGACACAACATCAGCTGTATTCAAAACAATAGAAATTATGGCCGGTGTAATTAAGGAACTTGCATCACCACCACCACGTAGATTCCACCCTTATTGGCCTCACCCATACAAATACACACCAATATCATCATCATCATTATCACAACAACATCAAGTTCTCTCACACCCATCAATATCATCATCATCACAATATCAAGCTCCCCCATACACATCAATATCATCATCATCATCATCATCATCATCACAATATCAAGCTCCCCCACACACATCATCATCATCATCTACTTCTATCTTTCCAGAACCGCATCTACCCTTACTCCAATAAATAGAACACTAGAGTCAGCAGATGGAATATATTTGACTGACAACAATAATTTTTGGTCTGGAAAACTATGTTATGCATGCAACTATAAGGGGCATCGGTCAAGTCGTTGTCCCAACATAAAGCAAGAACATAGAGAAGATAAGTGCCAGTGTTGCTTGAAAACCGACCGACACTGCAGATAAATGTGATTTCAAAAAAAAGGCGGATATTTATAATGAAACATTCAAGCAAGGATTTAAACTCCCTCTCATTACACACAAGAATGAACATTTATTTTTTTTTTGTTTTAATTAATAAAATTAAGATTTATTTTTAAAAATTGCTATGTATTTTTTAACAAATCAGAATAACCTAATATTACTTACAAAGTAATTGATTATTCTCATTCAATAAATATTGATTTCATAATGATTATGTTTCTTTCAAGATCCAAAAATGCGTTTTATTGTTATAAATCATATTTCCAATTAATAATAGCAGCCGTTCATGGTTCGAAACCCGTTGAGCGGTCATAGGAACTGGTTAGTGTAACACCTGAAAACTTTTGTAAAAACATCTAATACTTTTTTTTCACCTCAATTCTTGATAAATATAAACAATGTTAATTAATACAATGTCAGTCAGATATTCTTTATTAAAATATTAATATGGTTGGCTCGGTCTAGACACATTGCAATAAAATTTTTTTTAAATTTTTCAAAGGTTCCTTACTGCCAAATTTAGTAATGACGGTCAAAGGTTAGCCTAAGTTTAACAATGATCATAGTGCTGTGAACATAGTAATAGTAAAACACATGTACTAAAAAAGAATAGAACTCTATAACAAATAATTTTTTACATTACTAGAGACATATTCTGTCAACTAATGAGGATATTTTTTTAAAAGGTAGGACAGAAAATAACTTCTAACTTTTAAAATTTGCACAAAATTTTAGACCAACAAAGAAAGAAAGAATCTGGGAGAAAATGAATAGTAGCTGTTTACATTATTTGGAAAAATTATCATTATCAGCCACTAATATCATTGTTACTAAGTGTTGATGTAATAAATATGCAAGGACAAAAAAATTGGTCATCTTTTTTAACTTCACTACAAGCAAGTCATCTATTTTTTTATTTCTAACTGTCTCATTTTTTACTATATACTATTTTTATATTTTCGTTGACTTTTTCAAATAAAGTAGAAGTACAAACCAGCAACATATTGGTTAATTATTTTAAATCAGCGAGTGAATGTGTGAACAATTCAGAAATAGCACTCAGTCTAATATAAGTATTTGGGGAATCAATGGTATGAAAGGTTAATAATGTGAGTTACTTGTGAATTAATGGTAGTGAATGAATAAGAAGAAGTATGAAGGAGTACCAGTCTGAAAGCATTCGTGTTTGTTTGTATGGTTCATTCTCCTATAACAGATTATTTGGCTTAAGAAAAATGTCCATTATAGAGAGAACATTATATACTGTAATAATTATATATTAATATAAGACACATAAATTGGGCTTAAATACTCAGTTACAAGATCTGTTATAAATAGTAATAATTTATATGACATATAGATTTGGCTTAAATTCTCAGTTTGTTATGGAACAAGATCCATTATTATTATTATAGATGTGCAAAAGTTTTTAGACATCTATTTACATTATTAATTACTCAAACATGTATGCCTAAATATATGACATACTATTGATAAAAGCAAACTTGCCTGTTTTCCTGCCCAAAACTTCGAATATGACACCGCACCTTGAAGGTAAGGATCATATCCAGACGTACCAATTTCGTTTTTAACCTCAATGATTATTATTGTGGGAAACAATCTTTGTGAACATATATCTTGAGAGTTTCCTAGAATAACACCATTGTTACTTGAGTTATCATCATTTTTTAATTTTATTGGCATCTTTCCTAGAAGTTTCATCACATAACTGTGAAATATGTCTTCGCGTATCTTTTCGATTTTATATGGTTTTGACATATCGTTAATTAAATTAAGTGTCCATTTACAATGTGTATGAGTTATTTTTAAACCCTCGTCATTGTAATTAATCAAGAATTGATTAAATTCCTTGTTATAGAAATGAATTGGACGTCCAACACAGTCTGGTGGATGGTGCATCATTATTACTTGATTTTTTGATAAATTCGAATGGTGCACAAGCTTCGATGGTGGCGGAAGTTTTTGGATTTCCTCAACAGCTTTATCTTGAATATTTAAATTATTGCCTATATCCATATGAAACAGACAGTCATTGGGAAAAATGTAAACATTATTGATCATTTATTACAGCAAAATGATATCTACTAACCTGTAACTTGCTCGTTTTCTAACAAATTTTTCAAATGAATAAAGGGATAAACAAGATGGTGTGAATAGAACTATAGAAGTTGATTTTGTATATAACCCAATATTTAGCATTGTGAGAATCTTACCCTCTAGCTCCTCAAGTTGTCTCTTAAGACTAGTTATTTTTTCTTTTATTTTTATTACCGCAAGTTGATTTTCCTGTGTGTTGGAAATTGGATTAATTAATATCCAAACCAAACACTCGTACATTTACTTTATCCGATCTTTTTAAGCTAATATCACCGATCGATTGTAATTGTGGCATTTTCATTCGTATAGTGCTTTTTAAATTTTGTTTAATTGATTATATAGTATGTAGATTATAGTGATAACAATTGCGACCATCCTTTTGACAATAATTATAACCAATACTTACATTTTTTTTGGTTTCTGTCAGTTTTTTGCTTTTAATTTTTATGTTAAAAACTAGAGTGACGAGTAGTGGCGATAACCACCATCATTCTTATGATAAATACTTACCGATATATATTTTCAACGTCTATTTCTTTTCTGTTTCTTGTTCTATCAGACATTTTTTTATTTTTTAAAAAAAAAAGAAAAAAAAAGAAAAGAAAAGAAAAATTTGTTATTAGATTGGCAGACAACTATATAATTATTATTACACAGTGAGTCTTGATTTAACAGATATTTTTTTCCAGAAAATTTATCCGTTAAATCGAGAGATCCGCTAACAGTCACAGGACATTTCCCGCCGATCAATAGGAGGTTGCAAAACAGTAAAATTTGGATGATCTGAAAATTCGAATTTACATAATAAAATTTTGTAATCGAATGTCTTCACACCCTCATTTGATACCCTTGCTGTGTAGCAACCACCACCAAATTTGAGATATAATTTCTTTATCATATACAGTTGAACCTTGTCATAACGAATTTTGAAAAAAAATTTTTTTTTTAATAATAAAAAACTTTTGTTATATTGAATTTATTAATAGAATCTTGTTACAACGAACAACGAATTTTTGGTAAAATTTTTTGATATAGTTACTAATCGCGTTACAACGAATTCACGTGATAAATGATCAACAAAAATGTGTTAAAAAATCGTACGATTAAAAAAATCATACAATCCATCATTGTAAAACGTTGAAAGATTGCATCATAATTTAAAAATTATAATAAAATATATATTATTTAAAAATTGTAATAAAAAATATGATTGTTTTCCATGATTTAAAAATTGTAATAAACATATGATTGTTTTCCATGATTTAAAAATTGTAATAAAATGTAGTGATATCAGCCGTTAAAAAAACCTTAGCCGGCTAAGCCGATAGACTCTTAGCCGGCTAAGCCGGCTAGCCGTCA